CTCCTTGCTGCTACTACTACTACTACTACTGCTACTACTACTGCTGCTCCTACTACTACTACTACTACTACTACTACTACTGCTACTACTACTACGACGACGACGACGACGGCGGCGACTACGACGACGACGACGACGACTACTACTACTACTCCTGCCGCTGGTGCTGCCACAAGTTTTGTTTCGTGCGAGCATTAGTTTCAATGATGAGAGTGGTTTCCTACTTGTAGCCAGCCTGAGCCTTTCTTCCTCGCCGTGGTCGTACTGCTGGTTGTCTTTGTCGGAGAAGTAGTTAGTCATTGCAGCATCAAAAACAATGTGTACAGCCGCAGCAGCAAGAATCTAAAATAAGCTAGCATTGAATCACAAAAGCGCGTGATTCCCAGGCCTGCCGCTTATCCAGGCAGATCCCTCCTACGAAACGGCAGGCCATGGAGGGCTTAGGCTGACAGGTTAAGACAACACGAAGCATGATTGGCTCCATAGCCGGTGTGGTCTGCAGCCCGTTGTTCACTAGTTAGCAAGCATTTTGTCCTTGAGCAGGAGCTGTACAACAAGATGGCAGCCGCGGGTCTTTTCGACACGCTGGCCGTGTACTTTAGTGCGGAGCTTACGACAGGAGAGATTCACTCCTTGAACCATTGGCCCTTTACGTTGATCTTTTTGATTGTAGACGGATGCCCATGAGCACTGTCCGTACCAGCAGAGGCTGCCCATAGTGACCGCAGGACTAGTAGCTGTGGCAGGTGTGCTCGTTGCCTCACTTGGTTACCCTACATCTAGGTGGCATGTTCTCTAGGATAAAGAGGAGTTTTTCTGCTCCTTTCCATGTTCGTCCGTTACTCTGGAGCTGCGGCACAACACTCCCAATGATGTTTCAGGCTGCATCAGCATGTGATAGTTCATGACGCTTCAATCGTCACTCTTTGCTAACATGTAATGACGGGCGACGATGGAGTAGTAAATCATAAGTCGCACGGTCCCGACAACCAGTCGAGTCGACGGCTGATGGTTTTCAGTTGGTAGGCATGTGCAGTACTGTTGTTAAGCTCTGGCACACGCACTGCATATGTGTTCATGCGTTCGTGAAGGCAGACAGGCACAAACGCAGGCCAACGTTTGCTGCACGCGCACAGACGGACCTGTGCGCTGGGCAGGTGAGCCTGCGTGCATGTGGGGACGCGGGCATAGGCACATGCATGACAGCACTCCTGCTTCGCAATGCATGCAGGCACATGTGGCTACATGCAGGCATGCATGCATGCATGCATCCTCTCCAAATCAGCATACGTGAGTTTTCGTCGAACCTAATCTGTACAGGGTACATGCATTCTCATCTGCCAGCGTGTTTGTAGATGTGTATGTGCAGGTGTTTGGAGTGTTCACGAACCGCATTTTTCCCTGTCGCCGCAAATGCCCCCGTTCCGAGATGCCCCGGCAGAGCGCGATGGGGAGCCAGAGGAGCGCCAGGGTCGGCATGGATCGATTTTTGAAGGAGACCTCATATCTTCCTGTGGTTCTCCAAGGCCTGGGCCCAGGCCCCGAACCCCCTGTTTTCTGAGAGCTCCACCGCGCATTCCCTGTGAACGGCGAAGGGGGGAGTCCGGAAACCCGCCGAGCATCCGGCCCAGCACCATGCGGTGGAGGCGCGAGTCGGGCCGTTGGGTGAGGACAACAGCTTGAGGGTTTCGGGGATGTTTTTTTATCAGACTACGGATCCTGCCGAGCGGGAAACCCGTCGCTTTCTCATGATACGACAGGTTTCAATTATCGCAAGGTTGGGAGCCCACAGCCAGCATTCGATCCGTGACCAACCAAACTCCTAACCCCAAACCATCTCCAGAGCAGTTTTGGCTCCAGCCATTTATGGCCAGCCAAAACCGACGAACGCTTGTGAATTCCATGTCTCCTCTGCTGGCGGTGAACCTCAGAGATGCGAACCTTCCATAGCCAAGTCGATGTTGCATCTGCAGCTCTCATCCAGAACAAGCTCGATGTCTCATCTGCTGATTCTCTGCCCCTGAGAGATGCAGTCCACCCGGAGCACTTCTCGCATGCGGCCGTGCCGTTTAGCTGGACCATGGTCGTGCCAGCGCTTCTTTGTGTGTGTCTTCTCGTCCTGCACGAGCGACGTGTGGAGGCAGGAGCAAAACCTCTGCTGGCAAGCCACAGCCGCAACAGCACCGTGCCGCTGCAGACGGCATTTCTTGCATTTTGGATGGTTCCTTTTCTCATCGACTCCATGTTCATGTCGTTGTCACTGGACTATGCCTTAGCCATGGGCGAGTCTGCAACTGCCAGTGGTGTTTTTCTCGGTGCAGCCGCGGCGGGTTCTACTGTCGGGATAGTCATAGGACGGGGCTTCACTAGTGAGACAGACTGGAATCAGAAATATGCTCGAAAGATTTTTGTCTACATGTACGGGCTTTCATTGATGGCCATGCCGGTCATGGCTATAAGCATACAGACTTCTGTCGACTGGAGCCCTGGCGCCAAAAGGCAGATGTTTTGGTCCGTGGTCGTGCTGAACTTTTGCACCACCTGCGTCGGGAGCATTCCAGTAGTTGCCTGGAGCACCATGTGGAACATTGTCACGCCACAGAAGGAGAAAACTTTCTGGATGATGCTGACTCAATCCGCACGGAATGCAGGTTTCATTCTTGGTCCTCTCTGCTTGGCAGGCATCAGTCATGTCGTTCGAAAGGTCCGGGATGTCCGAGCTGTATCCCCAATTAGCATGATGAGCTGGGCTTTCATGGGCTCCTTTTTCATCCAGCTGGTCGAGTTGGCAGCCTACTCCTTGATAATCCCTACCCACCTTCAACCAGCCGACGGTGCAGAAGAGCTGGATGCCTTACGCGAAGAGGCTTCCGATGTACATCCCGAGCAGCTGCCAGCCCCAGCTCGCGAGCAGATGATGTGGGACGTGGTCTTCTACCTCTACGAACGAACCTTCTCCACAGGAGCTATCGAGGTCGCCACGATTATGCTTCTGGAGGTTCCTTACGGATGGTCTCCTGAGCTCAGTGGAATCTCTTTTGTTGTGATTGCTGCAGGAAGCTTGCTGCTTACTGGAGTTTCGGCCATCGTTCTTTCGAAGAAGTTTATGACCGAGTCCAACATATTCCTGCTCATGACGTGCTTGGGCTTCACCGGTTCCATCTTTCTTTTCGACGTGAAGTTCTTCGGTGCTGGCGCTTTGCTAGCTGCTGATGCTTTTGTCTATGGTGGAACGAGCGTTGCTACTGGCATTGCCGAGGGTTGGGCGTGTCGTGCGGCAACCCCCGGGACAGCATACAACATAGAGGCTTTCCGAGCGCACAGTGTAGCTGGCGTGAATGTCAGCCGATTTCTTGCTCCGATCGTTGCACGATTCCTTTTGGAATTCGGGGGGCGGAACCTCTACGCAGCCGTGCAGTCATTCCTGTGCTTAGTGGCTGCAGTCACAGTACATCGGATTGTTTCCTCTGCGGCCGCATCTCAGCAAGCTGTCAAAGGGCAGAAGAGCCACGACGAGGGTGCAGACTCCGGTGAAGCGAGTGTCACCATGCAATGAATGACTCGCGGATGGTGCCGTATGCTGAGCAGCCAAAAGAATGTGGAAGCTGATGCATCGTAGGGATGCTGTTGCTCTAGCCGGGTGAGCGGCAACCTATCACTCTAACTTGCAGTGGCCGTTGTCAGAAAGGTGTTGTAGGGACCAGCTTTTGCCCGCAATGACTCAAGGTGGCTGTTGCGTGTCTGCCGTCCTGGACAAGCCTCGTCTGCCCGATTTCCAGAGTCCAGACTTAAGATGCTCCGTTCCTGTTAACAGTGTAACGCAAGATACCAGCCATAGAAGTATTGAGCGATGGAAGTCACGGACATGACGCGCGCAAGAAATCAATCGCTACATGGGGAATAATGATCCAGAATGGGATTGCATCTCGCGGCGGCTTGAAAGCAGACGTATAACCACGCAGCAAGTTTCAACAAGATAACGAAAGGACGCATTGTCTGTGGGAGTGCTAGTGCTTTTCGCATTTGTTTTGCGCCACAGGTTCCATCTCCTTGTCGTTTGTTGATTTGAAGTTGATTGTTCTCGTTATTGTATTGCCGGTGGTTTTAAGCAAGTTTCTGGCTGTCTAAGTACTGCTAACAGGCGCGGGGGCATCTCAAGTCCAAGCCACCGCCGCAGTTGTAGACGCTGGCTAGGAAGCACAACCCCGTCCACCATGTAAGTGCTGTGAGAAGTCCTGACCAGGTGCTGCTTTTGCACGCCCGGAGCTTGGCGGGTTGATTTAAGTGAACAGGCTTTGGGTTTGGGCTTACTGGCTTAGTGGGGATTTGAGGTTCTTGCTTTCCAGGAGTTTGGGATCCTGTTGGCACCCTAAACCCTGTAGCTTTCTCTACACCTTGATCCAACGGTGATGCAGGCACATGAGGCAGAGAGGCTGCACTGCTCCGCCCACAGTGAGCTGCCATCCTGAGGCCCACAACCCCGAGGTCAAGAACAACCCTAAACCCAGCAAACACACATCAAAAGCGTCAAAACAACCCTATAAATCTCGGAGGCCTTACAGCAAGCATGCTCGAACACATTGAACGACAGAATATTGGCTGAATTCGGCACAAAACGCACCTCGGCGCGAACTTGCTTTGTGAGCACTTTTGACCAGAGTGGCATTGGAATGCCTTGAATCACGAAAGGCAATGACGAGCAGTTTCTCGAAACTTATGGTCTCGGTGCAGCCGAAGTACCCCCTCCCGATCAAGAACAGCCTTACTAAATCCGAATCATGATTGGGGCACAGATAAATGACACGATCCCTCATGCAACAAACCATGTGTTCGGGCAGGGCTCGGTGTGGACCCATGAGCTGAGCGATGCCCAAGTTCATGTTATGCAAGCTGCAGTGGCAAATCATTGCAGTGCATGGAGCTGTGATATGACGTCAGGGCGATCATAAGATAGCCTCCGAACCATCTAAAACAGGGCCCCGCTTAATAACCTGTCCAAAATCCCTAAAGCCTAAACCCTAAAACCCTAAAGCCTAAACCCTAAAACCCTAAAGCCTAAATCCTAAAACCCTAAAGCCTAAACCCCAAAACCCTAAAGCCTAAACCCTAAAACCCTAAAGCCTAAATCCTAGAAGCCCTACTTGCCACTGGAGGCCACCTGCCATCCCGGGCTCCTGAGAAATTGGCTGCTGCAGGAGAACAACGAGGCTCGGCCTCGCCCTAAACCCCTTGTTTTTTCGGTACAGTGAGCGAGTGATGCTGGGGACCGGGCTGCTGTGTACGAGGCCTGCTGTAAAAGGGGGGTTAGGGGGTTTAGGGGGTTTAGGGTCTTAGGGCTGAGGGGAGAGAGGGAGAGAGGCCCTTCAGGGGGCCGCCCTGAACCCTAAAAAAACCAGCCTCGCCAGGCATGTCCCAGTCGTGAGTGCTGAAGCCCTAGATCCTTTAAGCCCAAACCCTAGCCTTTACATAACCCTCATGCAGCCGCCCCCTCAAAGGCCGACAGGATGGACCTGCCAGGTCTTTCAGGATGAGCTCTGCTATAATACCACTAGGGTCGCCAATGCTACTGCCACTGTCAGTAGATTTTCACTACTCATGTTATTGTCTTTGGCATTGCTAAGGCCCTAAATCCCGGACCCTGAACTCAAAAACCCCGTTGTGCAAGAGTGAGAGTCGTGTTTTGCAAAGCCAAGCCAGGCTGGTCAGAGAGTGCTTCGTGCTGATGCCTCGGTCTGGGGGGCCAGAGGCTTCGGGAGCTCGGGTGAATAAAGGGCTGAAGCTTCATGTGCAGGACGTGCAGCCCTAAACCCAAAACCCCTAAACCCGAAACCCTAAACCCTCACGAGAGTGTCGAAACCCTCACGAGCGTGCGAGTCGAAACCCTAAACCCTAAACCCCCAAACCCGAAACCCTAAACCCCTTAAGCCCTAAACCCCCAAACCCTAAACCCTAAACCCTTAAGCACCAAACCCCCAAACCCTAAACCCTAAACACCGAAATCAGGAATTTGCTGCATGTGCAAGATGGATGATGCTGAATTTGCTGCAAGCATGCCGGTGGTGAGAGCTTGTTTTACTATCCGATGTGCAAAAAAGTTCCCTTCTGCTTGGCTGGAATGCGACGGCTGGCAAGACGACAAACAATTGCAGGAATTTCTGGAATTTATGTGCTGGAACCAAGAGGGATTCAGAAGATGGAGCTGGCTGCATGTTGATGGTTTTCCTGTGAGCCCAGGAGTTCGAGCGCGCCGTAGGTGCTGTAAATGTTCCGGGTGTGATACGTGCCATGCCAGAGTCAATGAGCTCAAGCCCCGACCAGTGAACCCTCGCCTAGGCAAGTCCGAGTGTGAGTGCTGAAACCCCGAAACCCCTAAAGCCTAAACCCTGAACCCTGAGGTTTCGGGGAAACTTTCGGGTGAACTGCTGGAGACAACCTGCCTCCACCCCCCTAAAGGCGAGGAGTTCTGTCACCGAGCCCAATGCGAACTTTGTCTTTTCGGGTTTAGGCTTCGGGGATAGGTTTTAGGGTTCAGAGCTTTAGGGTCGAGGGTTTTCGGGTTTAGGGTTTAGGTTTAGGGTTTATCCAATCAGCTTTGTGTTTTCGGGTTTAGGCCTTGGGTTTAGGCCGAAAGTCCTGCAGCCAATCTTTGACTCAGGTGCTAATCCAGCTCATGGTGCATGAGGAGGACCAGGCAACTCATGGCACTTTTGGCTTTTTGGTGGAACGATTCCGGGCGCTGCGGCTTGGGCTTCAGGGGCTGAGGAGCCGAGGAGGGGTTTCAGGTTTTGGGACATTTTCGCGTCGCGGGGGCGTTAGAGCCATGGGTGATCCCCTTGTCCCTTGTGCTTCAGCAGGTCGTCGGGCAAGGAACATGTTCGAGAACCGTCTGCACAGACTTCGTTCAGTGCTTTCGTTCTTCTTGCTGGGTCCCATCAGGTTGAGTTCCGATGGGAGGAGGCCCTGGCAACATAAGCAGAACGAAGACTTCAGCGTGTAGTGGGAGTCGGGACAGTAGGAATAACAATGCAACAGGCAATTAAGTGCAACCACAGTAGAGACAATCGTCAAACGGATTACTGGAGCTGCTGCTTGTTTCAACCCTCCTGTGCACCAAAGCCTCGCTCCAATATGTTTAGTCGCCGTAGCAACAACAACAAGCGTTTTGACTCTACAAAGCATCATGCGGCGACGACAGCGGCGACAACTAGTAGTCCTACTAGCCACAGCAACACCATGCCAATCAGACTCATACATCCATCAGTCCTGGGAAGACAGAAAGGTACATCGGAGTGAGTGGTAGCGGGATCACTGGACACCGAGATAGCACGATGCAGATTATGAAGACCTCGCTTACAATAACATCAGTGGATCCCGGATCAGGACATGAGCATGGCTTGAGAAAGAAGCCGTAATCACGGAGAGCACGCTATGCCAGGTCTAAGACTGCAGCTACAACTGCCCCTGCGTAGTTGAAGTGATATATATATATATATATCTATATCTATATATATATATATATCATACTGTATGTATGTATGTATGTATATATATATATATGAACTGATAGAATAAATGCACTTCGGGGCTGCACACTTGGAGATAGGCTCGTTGCAGGGGTTGGAGCCCCGGGGCTCGGAAGATGCCACGCTTCCCCGCTGCCAGGGCGTGCAGAGCCAGATTTTTGAAGTTCTCCGTGCTTGGCCTCAGACATGTGCTCGCTTACAGCTCCCGAGTTCAGGTGTCGCCCTTCGGTTTGGCGAGTTTGGTTTGCTTTTGAAATTTTGGCTTCTGGGACGATAGGTGGACCTCGTTGTGGCTGTTGGAGTTTGCTTCACCCGTCCCACCTCAATTCTGCAGCCCAGCCTGACACCGCCTCAAATCCACAATTCCGACTCCACGTCGCGGTCAAAACAACGCAGAAAGGCCATCCCTAAACCCTAAACCCTACACCCTAGACCCTACATCCCAAACCCTAAA